TAATTAGTTATTATTATTATATAGTATATAAAGTATATAAAATAAATAAAAATAAAAATAATATATATATATATATATATATATATATATATATATATATTTCTATAGTGCTGTATGTACACCTGAGCATCTAAATATTGGTATTTAGAAACTTGATTGTATTTTGCATTTATTTGATTATTAATATAAATCATCGAAACAAATACAGAATCTTTTTTTATTTTCAGCCACTGTATTCAGCAGATTTTGGAGAGTGTAAACCATTGTCATCAGAATAGTATCGTGCATAGAGATCTTAAGGTCTGTATATGTATCTTTATTGTTTTATACTGTGTATGCAGTGTTTAATACAGTTCACCTTATTTCAGATTGTGTTTAATAAATATTATTTTAATGATTACATCTTTAAGTATACATGAATATTATGTTCTTGTTTAGTCTTGAGGAGGGATTTATCTTTTGTTAGCTTAAATACTTTTATCATTCTGTTTATCCATGTACTGTGTTAACATATTTCTTTAATTCCTTAACGTTTTCTTAAAACGTTTAATGAAATATAAAGCTATGCTGCATTTGGACTTTTTCTTGAAAAAGAGGTTAGTATTTTCCTTTTCATTAAAGTAGGTTTATTTATAGAGGGTCTTGTTTGAAGGTTGTCACTGTTTTATTTCAAAATTAATAGGAGAAAATGTCACTGCATACATTCATTAAGAGTTGATCATTGAGTTTTGATAATGGTTGTATATGTGTGTTCCACTAATTATTATATGTTGATGCCTGGTTGTCTAGACGGGTGAAATTCTCAAAAAAGGATTTTATCGCACAATAAACTTTACAAGTGTCTTTTATCAGACATAGTCAAGCCCATTTTATCAAAGCAAGATCTGTTGAATTTAAATTGTATGGTTGGTTTTTACTCAAAATCAAATTATATTGTATTTTGTAGACAAAATGTTGCTCCTTTGGTTTTGGGTGTTCATTTTATAAGGAAACTGCTATTCACTTAATTGGCAAATAGCGAACAAAATCAAAGCTTTTCTTTTTGGTTTGAATTTAGTATGTTACTGTAGACTGTTGTGTTTGCTTTAAAGTAATTAGCCTGCATCTTAATTAGCTGGCTCCTCTGAAATGCTCTTTAGTGAATTACACTGCTCAAAGAGCAAAAGTTGCCAAAGTAGATTTTCTTGACTGAATGTAAGTTTTAATTATGCATTAATTTGTTTTTTTTGTTTATCCATTAGTTTCTATGTTACTTTGTTAGATAACCTGTCGAATGAAACTTCCTACACTTACTGTATTAATAATAATTATTTCCAAATAATAAAATAGTAGCTTAGGAAGATGAAATAGATTTAGTGTATCATAACTGGTCTGTCATCATTACTGGACAAGTTTTTTCACTTAAAACTTTGTGATATATGTGAAGGAAAATACTTCTGGTAAACTTTTAGTTGATCCACATGACATTGTCTGTGTCATATTTCTGAATTGTTCCACCTAGGTGTTCTATTACCAAGAATGATGAAATCAACACTTGATAACTCTGGTCTAGATCAGTCAGCACTTTTATATCAAATAGAGAATTTGCAAAATGATTAGAAGTAATTATGCTATTGATATAAAAAGAAAAAACTTCAAGAAGTTAACTTACAAGTTTAAAATTTATCTGTAAATTTAAAATTTGTTAAGCTAGAGCTGTTAGTCACAACCCTAACAACATTTATTTGTGATTTTGCAGTGCTTTTTTTTTTATTTATGCTACCATAACATGTATTAAATAAGCACAGTTAGTGGGTACATGGGTTTTTTTTCTTTTTTGGCCTCTTATTGATCTTTTAGCCAGAAAATTTACTCCTTGCAAGCAAAGCTAAAGGAGCAGCTGTAAAACTTGCTGATTTTGGTCTTGCTATTGAAGTACAGGGAGACCAGCAAGCTTGGTATGGTAAGTATATCAGAAAATAAAAATTACATAAATAATATAGTACATTTTTTGTGCATCCAAGGTTTAAATATCTAAAACTGTAAAAAAAGAAACTAAAAAAACTACAGGGCTGAGCTATCTATTTGTTTAGGCATTTAACACAAATTCCTTTCAGAAGAAACAGAGACAAGGTTTTTCCCTTACTAACAGCATTTAAAACTTTTTATGCCCTCTACATTGCAGAGTGGGGCATATTGGTTTGGCCCTTCCATCCATTCATTGTCCTGATCTTGTGAGCAGGATATTTCACGATTGAATGGATCGATTTTGGGCAAACTTGTACGAGAGATACGAAATACAAATTTCTAGTCACGATTAACTTTTGAGGTCACTGGTATATAGAAAAATTTCCCCCATCTTGTAGACAGGTACTACATCATTAATGTGGGGAAACTTAAATATACAGTAACATTAGGGTGGCCATAGGTGTTTCATAAACACAATTTTCACATTTTATACCTAGGACTTGTGAAATAATTATATTTAAAAAATGTTTATATTAATTTATGTTGGTAGTTGGTATTAGATTGCAATGTACACATCCATGTAGAAAGATGAAATAAGGAATTGGTTGGATGTGATGTGATAATGTTATCACAAGTTTAATAATGTCTTTAAAACAAGAATATATAATTCTTGTACAAATCTCAACATTGATAAATACAAAATTCTGTTAAAATTGTGAAAGAATTAATTATACAAAGCTTGTAAGTACAACATTTCTTAAGTTCTACTTTTTAATTTATGTAAAGATAACATAGGGTGAATCTCAGAATGCTAATATTATTATATAGGAATAAGAATGAATCTTAAGTCTTGGTTACTTATGTTTTGTTTACCTTTTTTTTTTTTTTTTTTTCAGGGTAAATTTCTTTTAATAATTTTTTTAGGGGGTGGGGGGTTTAGTTCATATTAATTTAGTTTTGAAGATTAAAAGAACTTCATGGACTCCTAAATGACAAGCTTATTGATCATTATTAGTGACATTTTATATGAAGGTGTAATATATCTTGGGAGGAAGGCAGATTATCTTAAGGAGACTAGTGAAATTTCTTGCACTTCAGGATTGAAGCACCGGTATTAGAAACAGTGCATCTGTGTTAATTAATCATCTGGAGGAAGGGTTAAAGTTATTTAATGTGAACAAGAGTTTGAAAGTCTTGGCACACAAGTCCTGATATAGAATGTAGATTCTCACATTCAGATAAAGCTGAATGAAGATACAGTGCCAGTACATGAAGTCACTCGCACTTTTCAGATTTCAACTGCTAATGAATTAGAATTCAACTTCAGTTTGAGCTTATTGATGGCTAAAGTGTCTTTAATTTTGAAATCTTGTTCATTATGAACTACATATCATACTGACGTCCTATTCGTATGGAATGTGATGTAACTGCAGATGAAGAGGACTAATATATAATGTAGTTCCAGTAAAAATAAAAAAATAATTATAACTTAATAATTATAATTATAAATAAAAGACAAAATTAATAAAATGCACTGTTTTCTCACAAAAGGATTTAAGCAGTAATCTGGTTTAACTGTAACTTTAGGTTTGCATTAGCAATCTGAGTACTTTATTAACCCTCAGTTAATTATTATTATTATTAATTCAAGGATAATCTTTACCTTTTATTAGATGAAATAATGTAAACAGAAAGTCACAATGTCATTATTAATTAATGATCAGAGATTTGTGCTTTTTTCACAAAATATTGAAAAAGAAGTTCTGATACCATATCTTGCCTCCTCACAAAAAGCTGCCCTCTATTGCTACAAATTTTTTGCTCGCAACTAGCCTTTCAGCATACTTACCTCCAATGATCATGCAGCAACCCTCCACCAATAGGAGTGTAACACTACCCCTATCATAACTAGCACCCTGTCTAATAATGCACTTGTTAATCACTTCTTGATTGGCAGTCTTAGTGTACAAACATGTTTGTTTTCACTCATGATTTAATCCACACATTTTTCTTTCTAATTTCATCACTGCCATTTTTCCTCTTTTTTTTTTTTTTAGCAGAGAGTTGCAATTTAAATTTCATTATCTACTCTTCCTTTTCTAACTTTTTGTTTTTGACTTTGTGAGTTATGCACTCGCAGTTTCAGGTGGTCACTACTACCACTGCTATTGCAAATTTCCCATTCATGTTTATGGGGGCGATAACACAGTTATTGGCTGCAGGTGTGATGGTTATGTTCTGTTGGGAATTATGCCATTTTTGGCAATAATTATTCTGGGAATAACCTGTTGAGTAGCCTGCCATCCCACACTTAAGCGTATCTTAATGGGTGAATGTGACTTAGGATAGTTTGTTTCTTACCCTTCTGAATATGCTTTTCCATGTGTCATTTTGAGGGGGGGTCTTGCCTAGGCTTACTTCACCTCTTGTAGCCATTGTTTCACCTGGTATGTTATTTTTTGTATTTGTCTCCTGTTTCCTTGGATTTTACCTATGCCCTCTTTGGGGTTAATCTTTGGGCTTTAGTTTTTTTTCTTACCCAGATAATGTGGTTTATACTCATTGTTTTGGGGTACACATGCATTCGGGGGTCAGTATGCTTTGTCCCCTGTGTATGTTGGTCTACCATATTTTTGCTTTTCTTGTTCCACCTACCCATAATTTCCCTCACACCTTTTGGATTTTTTTTCCTTCCAATGTACGGTTCGGACCCTGATGCTTTGGTTGTGTTTCTCTACCTCGGAACTTTCCTGTTCATTTATTACATTATCCATTATTGTCTGTGTTTTATCTTCCCATTGGCTTTTGGTTGGGGTGGTTCTATTTCTTTGTTTTTTTCTGTTGGTCATAGTAGTATCTCTTTTTTGCAATGTAGTTCTTCTATTTTGGGATCCTGTTTTTTTAGGGTTCTTTTGCCCTCCTCTTCATTACATGCAATGTGCATGGCAGCTTTTTCTCTATCATGAGGTGTTGGGGGTCTTCCTGCCTAATTGGAGACTGTGATTGTTTCAGCAAGTGTCCATAACTCCCTTTCTACTTGTTTCCGCCTGTTATATCACCATCTTCAACCCTCAGTGGAAACCAGTTTCATTGTGGTATCAGTTAGAAGTGGCTCGGTTCTTACTTCTCTAGGGTCCCTTCTGTGAGGAGATCATTCTCATTAGTGGTTTTCACTCCTGTTTTGTGGATGACTTTGGTCAATGTGTCGAATACGTCTCCACATTCCCAGTTCCATGGCATACAGATATTTTTCTGTGTTTTCAGTTTAGGGTGTTTTTGTTTGGCTTTGCCTCTGCTCCCTCTGTGTTTAGCCGAGTGGTCTAGACCTTAGCTCATCTGCTTCCTTCTCTGAGCTTAGTGTACATTTTTGTTTGGATGGCTGGATATTTATAGCTACCTCACTGGCCTTATCTGCTCTCCTTACTCAGTTTCTTCTTTGGGAAGCTGCCTGTGTGGGTTGGCTCATCACAGAGGGGATTTAATTTATCACACCTGATCAATTTCTAATTTCTTGGGGTGTTTTTCATCTCAATTCGTGGTTGGGACCAACCTTCTCCTCTTCGATTTAGAGCTTTGGTACATTCTCTAGGTGGCTTTTCATCTTCTCCCTTTCCTTATTGCATGTGAAGTTCCCTCTTGTTTGGAGACAAGGGCATCTCTTGCAACCCTCATTCATCTTGGTCAAGCCAACATGCTCTTTCCTCTGTGGGTTTCTGGATCATCAGATGCTGTCTTGTTTGGAAACCCTTGGATGTTCTTCTTACTCTTTCCTGTCACTAACAATTTATATTGATTGTTGGTTAGATATGATCACTATTGCTGCTGAGGTTCCTCTTCCTTCTTCTCATCCAGATTGTCACCTTTTTTTAATTATTCTTATTCCATTTAGAGAGCATCTCTTGATACCAGGGAGACTTGGTGGCAGGGAACTCTTTTTGACTCTGCTCTCCATTTCACTCTTTTGACACTTCTTGTTGTTTGTTGGACAGTACTTTCATTCCTACTAGCTCTTTGAGACAAGGTTGTGATGTTTCAATCTGATAATTCAATGGTAGGGTCCTACACAACCATGCATGGGGGGCATCTGGCTGGGTGTCCTTTGTTTTCAAACTTTGGTTCTCCTGTATTTTGAGCCTACTGTCATTAAATCGATTTATGGCCATGTTGTTGGTGGGAGACAATGAATCTGGTCATAAATCAGCTATCCTGTCCTGACAGGATTCTCCTGATGGGGTAGTCTTTGGATCCTCTAGTTTTTTGGGTGCTGTGGACAATTTGGAGTGTCCCCAATTTGGACAGTTTTGCATCTCATCTTGATACACACCTTCCCCATTTTTCGCTTCTTGTTCCTCATTCCTTGGTGGGGGCAGTAGATTCTCTCTGTTGGGAATGGGCAAGTCATTCCCCCTGTATATGTCTGCCTATTTGTCTTCTTCCTAATGTTCTGTCAATAGTTCACAACTCTCATGTTGAGTTTGACTGATGGCACCATCTTGAACGACTCTCATGGTTTTCTTTTCTGTAATGGTTTTTGGTGTCTCCTCCTCTTTATCTGCCTTCACCTCCTTCATCAGTCACAATCCAACATGCAATGTCCATCCTTTCTGTCTTCATGTGTGGCTTTTATCTTGTCCCTCACTGGAAGGGTCAGGTCTTTCCAGTCATATCACTTCCTTGGTTTTCTTGTCCTTCCTTTTTTACAGTTTCCCAGAGTTATTGATATACATCACACTGTTGATCTATACACCTAGGTTATTGTCCTTTCATTACTTCCATTCCTCATGCTGTCCTTTTTCACTTAGCTTTTGGGCAATTTTTGTCTTCCCTTTTCGGTTTACCGGTTTTGCTTCTGTGATGCATTCTCGTTTCCTGGCTATGTTATTTCATTCATTCTCCATTGCTCGTACCCCTGCTCAGCTTCTCTCCAGGGTTTGGAATCTTCATGTTGTCCTTCATGCTTTTTATAATCCTCAATTTTAACCATTGTTGGCAGAT